CTTCTCAGAAAAACAGGTTCTGTTTCTGTATTTCTGATATAGCTTCATCCGAAAAAAAAAAAAAAACTCTGCAAATGCAAAACAGGATTCCCATGACATTTTGAGCTCAACTTAGCTAACACAACTCATTACTTATTAATGAATGAAACATACTAAAACAAACCATTTCCCATTACATATCATGCAAGTTCTTATGAGAGGCTACATGAGAAACATGCTACAGCCAAACTTCACAAAACATTGAAGCTAACAGTCAAGCTATGCTACACAAGGTTCGGCAACTTTTCTATTTAGCCCAGATGCACTTGTACAAAGCAAACCAATGGATTCAACAACTCCGCTTGAACACAACAAACTAGGAGGGGGGAAGAGGAAGAAAATGGACAGAAGTTTCAAACCAAAACCAGATAAAGGCAACTGATAGCTACTTGTCCTAAAAAAATTTCAAACACACGCATGCTTTTTGAAGGAAAACAGCCACCAGAAATTTCACTTAATGTTAACACACCTCAAAATCTTTCAAACAATCTGTTGAACAACCTCCTATGACCACACCAGAAATGCAATGACGACAACTACTTAGAACAGCCGAACGAACAGAAAACCAAGAGGAAAAAAAAAAATGCAGACAGTACAATGAAAGTTATCAGGCATGCATTACTACTGATTGCTGTTTTAGATTGCAGCATATGTGTGCATAATATATCAATCAAGCTACAAATGAACATCAAATTTCTGTCCCTCAGCCTAGGTCATGACCACGAATTTTCCAGCCAAAAACAGAAAAAGAGAGAAAAAAAAAACGAAAACTTCCTTGAATAACAAGATTCAGCCATACAATAGAGAGTGTTTAGATGGAATGCAACAGAAGACAGATATGATTGGACTCTTGGGTGAAAACAGATTTTGGAACCAAGTAATAAGAGCAGAGAAACCATCCAACATGCGAGGGAAAACGCAAAAGCAACAACAACAGATTCAATCTCAAAAGTACTGGCAAACATTCAAACCAGATTCACATGACCAACGATCAAATCCCATAAGAATCACATCCCCATCAAAAATCCTCACAACATCATGAAATTAGTGCCTCAAATCTCCCATTCCCAGATAAAATTATCCATCGAAATGCCAAGCAATAAAAACCCAAAAGGCACAGATTTCATGTATGCTACTTCGTTCAGGAATTAGAATGAATAAGAAATGGAGTTATGATTACCTGATGATGGATTCTTGGGCAGATTTGAGTTCAAAGAAAACGAACAGAGGTTTGTCTCTGAAGACCCTCCTGGTTTCGTCCTTTCTTTTTTACCCGTATCCTCCTTCCTCGGTTCTCCTTCTAGCCCTCCTGCCGACGAACACTCTCGTTGATTTCTTAGCCTTTTTCTTTCCTTTCTTTTGCTTGTTTCTGATTTTTCCCTTTAGTCTACAGCCGACAACCTTTGTCTCTCTCTTCTCAGTTTTCCTTAGCCGTTCCACTCTCTCCCCACCAGCTCTCTCTCTCGATTGTCCTCCCTCTTTCTTCCTAGCTCTGCCCCTTTTCCCTCATGCTCTCAGTTCTGCCGTTCACTCCCTTCTCTCCCCAGATTTTGCAGCTGTTCCTTTCTCTCTAACCCTCCTCCTGCGGCTGCTGCTTCTCTATCTATTTATATGGGCATTTCCAATCCCTAAAACCCAGTCCTTTCTCCAGTAATTGCAGCCAAGGAGCCGTCCCAGATTTCTTTTGCAAGCTGCGTAAGTCCGCAGCTTTCATGCTGCGGCAACTTTTTTTTTTTTTTTTTTCAGCTAATTAAAACAGAAATTAATAACAATAAAATTAAATGATAATAACAAAAATTTATAATAACAGAAATTAATATTGAACAGCAAATTACAACTTCCATTTTTCATCCATTTTCTTTTTTCCTCTTCTTTGTTTTTTTCTTTTTTTTTTTTTCCTTTTCTTTACTTAAATAACAATAAAATGCAATCAAAAACACAAATGCTTGTAACCTGAAATAATAATATATATTTTTCTCTTTTCTTTGAAAAACAATTAAAATGTATCAAAAAGTAAATAATGCCTATTACGCTAAAAACTTTTCCTTCAAATTTCAAACCTTTCACTTTTTTTCAAAAATAGGCCAGTATGCATTAAACCATTTTTCCCTTTTCTTTTTCCCCTTTTTCATTTTTCCAATCCATCTAAAACCTATTTTTTTTCGAATTTTTCTTCTTTTCCTCTTTTTCTTTAATTTCTTTTTTCTCCTTTTTATGATTTTGCATTTTCATTTTTCTTTCAAGAAAGCATTGAATAAAAACAAAATGACTAAAATGATTTTTCTTTTCTTTCTAAAAACTCTATAAACTTAAAAACTAAAAACTAAAAACTAAAATCTAAAACTTAAAAGTGATTAAAAACCTAAAATGACAAAACAAAAATGAATAGACAAACTAAAAGGGCAAAATGACTAAAACTAAAATAAAATAAAAAAAATAACTAGAAATGCAAAACACACAGCAATGAACTAAATGCAAGCGGTCTAAAATAAAATAAAAATCATGAAGTAGATGCCACATACAAATTATTCAAAATTTGGTGTCTACAGTTTGCCCCTCTTTGTCTGAGTTTTGAAAAAACTTGAGACAAAGAAGTGGACACCAAATACCTACCTGTGTTATTGGGCTGCAAAAAATTCCGACGAACAGGAATTCTAATACGAGGCTGACCCGAACATGAAAAATAAGACGGGACTGACCCGAACAGGAATTTAAACGGGACTGACCCGAACAGGAATTTAAACGGGACTGACCCGAACAAAAATTTAAACGGGGCTGACCCGAACAAGAATTTAAACGGGACTGACCCGAACAGGAATTTAAAACGGGACTGACCCGAACAGAAATTTAAAACGGGACTGACCCGAACAAAAATTTAAACGGGACTGACCCGAACAGGAATTTAAACGGGACTGACCCGAACAAAAATTTAAACGGGGCTGACCCGAACAAGAATTTAAACGGGACTGACCCGAATAGGAATTTAAAACGGGACTGACCCGAACAGAAATTTAAACGGGAACTTTAAACGGGACTGACCCGAACAAGAATTTAAACGACTTTAAACGGGACTGACCCGAACAGGAATTTAAACGGGACTGACCCGAACAGGAATTTAAACGGGACTGACCCGAACAAAAATTTAAACGGGGCTGACCCGAACAGAATTTAAAACGGGACTGACCCGAACAGGAATTTAAACGGGACTGACCCGAACAGAAATTTAAACAGGACTGACCCGAACAGGAATTTAAACGGGACTGACCCGAACAAAAATTTAAACGGGACTGACCCGAACAAAAATTTAAACGGGGCTGACCCGAACAGGAATTTAAACGGGACTGACCCGAACAGGAATTTAAACGGGACTGATCCGAACAGGAATTTAAAACGGGACTTCACTGGAGATGTTTAAACAATAAATTGAGTTTTACCTGAAAGTAGTTCACACTTTTGCAGCAAAAGGGAGTTTTGATTTTTGTGACTGAAACGATAACTGATGTCGTTCTTTATGCTCAAACTTCGTCAACAACTTTATCACTTCACCGTTGCTTACTGGGGAGCCAGTTCTGACGTTGAGTGCGAGAAATAGAATATTTGCAATGTTCCTGCAAGAAAAGAAGAAATAATGGACTTGCCACCATTATTTGATCCGATTAGCCTTGAGAATCGTGTAAACATGAGTCTTGTGATGCTTTTGCCTCTAGTTTGCGGCGTACACCTTAGTCGAGCTTGCAACTTTGAAACCTTTCAGATTCTGAGACTGATAAGCACGTGTTTACTACTTCACCCAAATCCGTGTAGCAGTCGTGTTACTTTTAACCACTGCGATAGATGACCGAATTCCCCATCTTTGAACAAACCTTAGGGTTTATCATTCGTACGAATTCAATGGTGAAAGAATGATGCATGAAAATGTCATATGAAACAATGATATATGCAAAATGAATTTCCTATGTCAGGCAAAAATGAGAATCCAAAAGAATACAAACAATCACAAACAGTCGAACACAAATAATTGAATTGAGAGGAACCAAAAGATTTATAAGAGTACATTTTGTAAAAGAATGTTTGTACAAGTTTGGCCAAACAATGTTATATTCGAAACTTGGGGTATATCTGTTTCGGAATTCGATACTGGCAGAAATATCACAAACATGAGGAAAAGTCTAAATGAACCAGGTCACCAGCTGTCCCTTATCGTGCTCATCCGTTGCGAAAAACCGACCTTGGCGCCCTTTCGGGTTTTCACCAAGGTTGCCCCCACCCCTTTTTGATTGATTTTGTTTTTTTTATTTTTTATTTTTATTTTTATTTTTATTTTTTAATTGAGGCGCCCTTTCGGGTTTTCACCTAAAGAACAACGAAATCTCTTGACCACAGTTGACTCAGAAATATGCATTAAAGATTCTAGCATCAGTAAAATGCACTTCCCTTGAGAAATTGGGCGAAGGCATTACGGACATCACCTGCCAGTTGGTTAACAAATTTTCTAGTAGAAATGCAGCAAGTGACGAAAGCCAGGACTTTGGGCTTTTGTAACGAGGTCAAGTGGGGTGTTCTCAAGAAAAGTTCAGGCTTAAAAGCAGATTTTGATAAGAGGTGTGAAATGAACTGAGATTGCACCATTTTGAAATGAAACCGAGGAAAATCTGCCCCAGTTTAATTGGATTTTCTCTTTTGCATTCTTTCATTGCATTTTTCCTCACTTTTGCATTTTTCTTTAAAACTAAATTTTGCCCCAGTGTGGGGTTTTCTGCTTTCTTTTCTTTTCATCTCTCTTTCAAAATAACTTTGCCCCAGTGTGGGGTTTGCAATTCTCAGGGGCTGTCAAATGAAAATTTGTCAATTCTGGTGGCTCAAAGGGGACAAGTAGGGATAAAATGTTTTATAAGTGTAAAAGAAGATGGCCTGACTTGTATTTCGCCATTTGCATGAATTTCTGAAGAAAATTTGCATTATCAAATGAAAAACTTTTTGCACATATCTGAGTTGATGGGTTGAGGGAATGCTCGTCCATCCATTTCTGCTAAAATAAGGGCTCCGCCAGGTAATACCTTTTGGACAATGAATGGCCCTTGCCAATTCGGAGCAAATTTGCCTTTAGCTTCATCTTGCATCGACAAAATTCGCTTTAGCACTTTGTCACCTTCTTCAAATGCACGCCGATGGACCTTTTTGTTATAAGCTCGGGCCACCCGTTTCTGATAGCACTGACCATGACAGATAGCGTTGAATCGCCTTTCATCGATCAACGTCAATTGCTCATGGCGCTGCTTTATCCAGTCAGCCTCCTCCAATTTAGCTTCCATAAGGATTCGTAGCGACGGGATCTCAACCTCAGCTGGCAAGACAGCTTCCATTCCATACATAAGTGAATACGGCGTTGCCCCAGTTGATGTTCGGATAGAAGTCCGATATGCCATTAGTGCATAAGGCAGCTTCTCATGCCAATCACGATGCCTTTCAGTCATTTTGCGTATAATCTTCTTCAAATTTTTGTTCGCAGCTTCCACGGCTCCATTCATCTGAGGCCTATAAATAGCAGAATTACGGTGTCTGATTTTGAACTGCTCACATAGTCCATCTACCATGTCATTGTTCAGATTTTTGGCATTATCTGTAATCAGCGTCTCGGGTACTCCGAAGCGACAAATGATGTGATCTCTCAAGAAATTGGCCACTACTTTCTTCGTTACATGTTTGAATGACTCCGCTTCAACCCATTTGGTAAAGTACTCGATTGCCACCAATATAAATCGATGCCCATTTGAAGCAGGCGGGTCAATCATGCCAATTACGTCCATACCCCACATTGAACAGGGCCACGGGGCGGTCATGCTATGCAACTCAGTGGGTGGAGCGCGTATAATGTCACCGTGCATTTGGCATTTTATACATCTCCGGACAAAGTCTATACAATCATGCTCCATGGTAAGCCAGAAGTATCCGGTTCTCATGATTTTCTTCGCCAGCAAATGGCCATTCATGTGAGGTCCACAAACACCACTGTGCACTTCTTTCATCATATACTGAGCTTCATCCTCATCAATGCACCTTAAAAGGTTCAAATCTGAGGTTCTTTTGTACAACACTTCTCCACTTAAGAAAAACTTGGAAACCATTCTGCGCAAAAAACTCTTATCCTTTGAACTAGCATGCTGAGGGTAAGACCCCGTTTTGAGAAATTCCTTAATATCCTTATACCAAGGCATGGTATCAGAGGACTCGTCTGCGACCCAACAGTGGGCAGGTTTATCTTGAAGTTGAATTTGGATTGGTTCGATTTTCAATTCGTCTGGATACTGGATCATAGAGGCTAGAGTGACCAAGGCATCAGCAAATGCATTACGGGCTCGCGGGAGATGTCTGAACTCTAAATTTTGAAATTGCTTGGCCAAAGTGAGCAAACTACAATGGTAAGGAAGAATTTTCGAATCCTTGGTTATCCACTGCTTCAAAGTCTGGTGTACGAGCAAATCTGAATCACTGAAAGCTATCAACTCTTTGATTTCCATTTCTAACGCCATTTTGAGACCAAAAATGCAGGCTTCATACTCAGCCATGTTATTCGTGCAAGCGAATTGCAATTTGGCAGCGGCAGGGTAATGTTTCCCTTCGGGTGAAACCAGAACAGCTCCAATTCCAGCTCCGAGAGAATTCGAAGCTCCATCGAAGAAAAGCCTCCATTCAGAACTTTGTTCACTTATATCATCTGCAGCGCCTACAAATAGGACCCTCTCGTCAGGGAAATAAGTACGGAGTGGTTGATAATCATCATCTCTTGGATTTTCCGCCAAATGATCAGCTATAGCTTGCCCCTTGACAGCTTTCTGTGAAGTGAAAACAATATCGAACTCTGAGAGAATTATCTGCCATTTCGCCAGACGCCCAGTCAACATCGGCTTCTCCAAAAGATACTTCAAAGGATCAGACCGGGAAATAAGATACGTGGTATGGCTCAACAGATAGTGTCTCAACTTCTGGGCTGCCCAGGCCAATGCACAGCAGCTTTTCTCAATGAATGAATAATTAGTCTCGTACTGCGTGAACTTCTTGCTTAGATAGTAAATGGCTTGTTCTTTCCTTCCAGAGTCATCGTGCTGCCCGAGGACACACCCAACTGCTCCTTCAAGCACGGATAAATACATAATCAAAGGCCGGCCCGGTTTGGGTGGCACTAAGACTGGTGGATGCAACAAATAATCTTTAATCTTGTCAAAAGCCTGTTGGCACTCCTCGTTCCAATACAACGGCACGTTCTTCCTCAATAATTTGAACAACGGCTCGCATGTGGCAGTTAGTTGGCCAATGAACCTCCCGATAAAATTGATCTTCCCTAAAAAGCTTTTCACGTCCTTCTGAGTTTTTGGCACTGGCATGTCTCGAATTGCTTTGATTTTCGCCGGATCTATTTCTATGCCCTTCTTGCTAACAATGAATCCCAACAGCTTACCCGCAGGTGCTCCGAAGGCGCATTTCGCAGGATTTAGCTTTAAATTGTACTTCCGCAACCTCTCGAATAATTTCTTCAGATCAACCAAGTGGTCCTCTGCCCTTTTAGACTTGATTATAATATCATCCACGTAGACCTCCATCTCCCGGTGGATCATATCATGAAATAGGGTTGTCATGGTCCTCTGATACGTTGCTCCAGCATTCTTTAAACCGAAAGGCATGACTCGGTAGCAAAAGGTACCCCAAGGGGTAATGAAAGCAGTCTTCTCCCTATCCTCCTCTGCCATCAAAATTTGGTGGTAGCCAGCAAAACAATCGCAAAAGGTTTCAATCTCATGTCCGGCCGTATTGTCTAAGAGAATGTGAATATTTGGTAGAGGGAAATCATCTTTAGGACTGGCTTTATTAAGGTCTCTATAGTCAACACAAACTCTCACCTCTCCACTCTTTTTTGGAACAGGGACTGGATTTGAAAGCCAAATTGGGTAATGGGAAACAATGATAATGTTGGTTTTGAGTTGTTTTTCAATTTGCTCTTTTATTTTGAGGCTTATATCTGGTTTGAATTTTCTGGGTTTTTGTTTTATGGGTGGAAAAGAAGGGTCTGTGGGCAATCTATGCACTACCACATCAGTTGAAATGCCAGTCATATCATCATAGGACCACGCAAATACATCCTGGAACATGGTCAAAAATTCAAGCATCTCCTTTTTCTGCCTTTCATTCAAATGAATACTGATCTGCACCTCCTTAACTTCATCCTTAGTGCCAATGTTAACCTTTTCTGTTTCTTCCAGGTTCGGTTTTGGTTTTTCCTCATATTGTTCAAGGTCTTTTGCAAAAGAATCGAATACCTCCTCATTATCACTCTCACTTTGGAGTTCGGATTCACAGACCTCCAAGTCGTGAGTGATATAGAAATTGCCATTATCATATTCCAGAACTGTGATATCCAAAGGGTCAAATAATTTTATTTTTGGCCATCTGAAAGAATTAACGAATGTGGGATAATAAGCAAATAAGCATACAACAAACAAATGAACAAACAATATGAATATAAACAAGCGAATAAACAACAATGACAAGAACAACTTGTGCATTTTCATAAAACCTTTGATTGAAAGCAAATGGAAATGAAAACTTAACAATATTTACATGCGCAAAAGGAAAATTGTTTTCATTGGCTATTTACAGATGCAAAAGTATTTTTCATGAATTCATATGAATGATAAACCCCTTTCAGTTTACCGAAACTCCTTCCGAATAGGCAGAAATTCAGCTGTCCAATTGGAAATCGACCCTTCAGGGATGTCAGGAAATTCGGCCTCGTTCGGGAAATTGTCTTCAAATATTGCCCCAATGAACAGTTGGGACAAACTATCCTCGATTTCTTCAGTTGAATTACCCTCTGATGCGATTATTTCAGCTGGCCGGGGAAAAGTATACCGTAGCGGTGGAATATCGAAAACCCTTTGCCAGCCCTCTTTTTCTGCTCTTTTACGCTCCTTCATCTCCTTGAAATCCTTGGCAGTTGGTCTGAAACCCAAACCGAAGGTATCCCTCTTTTCTACTATCTTCACTGGCTTCAGGATCCCTTGCAGTTCACGCCCCAACCCCTTGTCGAATTCGTATCCTCCACGAATCATTTCTCTGGCCATCATTACACTGGCCTTTGAGAGAGTTTGTTCCTCCGTGGTTATCCAACTTACGGAGACTATATCGGATGTGCTGTGAGGGGACATGGTAACACTTTGACTACCCTCCTCTTTAACTCCAGAATCGGTGATCACCAGGCAGTCCTCTTCAGCAAAGATAGTGATTAGTTTGTCATTTACCACGAACTTGAGCAATTGATGCAACGAAGACGGCACAGCCCCGACTTGTGAATCCATGGCCTTCCAAGTAAAATATTGTAAATGCTCGGGAAGTGCATTACTTGGCAAGTTATTTGAAATTGGGCGGGCCCCATCTCGATTACTAAATCTGCCTCTCCTATTGGCTCCCTCTGCGCTCCATCAAACCCTCGAACGATAGTCCCTGAAGGCCTCAGTTTGATGTCTTGCAATCCTAGTTTCTCTACGGTACTCCAAGGACAAATATTCAGTACGGATCCATTATCGATTAATACTTTTGGCAGTATTTTCCCGTTGCACCTCACGGTTATGTACAACGCCCTATTTTGTCCGATGCCTGCCGTCGGCAATTCATCATCAGAAAAAGCAATTTGCTTGTTGAATAACACGCTCCCCACCACGTTTGAAAAATTATCAACAGAAATGTCCCTCGGAATTTGAGCTCTTGTTAATACGTCGATCAATGCATCCCTATGCACGTCTGAAGAGAAAAGTAGGTCCAACATGGTTATCTGGGCAGGTGATTTGCTTAGCTTTTCCACTATGTTGTATTCACTTCTCTGAAGTCGTTTAAGGAAATCCACGGCTTCTTTCTCGGTGATTGTTGGCTTAATGGGTGGTTCGGAATTAGCTTGAATCGGAATAGTAGTTTCAAATGGACTTACAGTCTTCCCCGATCTGGTAACCACTGACACCTCTTTCTTTGCAGTTGAATTTTCCCCGATCTGTATGCTAGGCTTATCGTAATTCCACGGCACTTGTTGCAGACTTAATACGGGCTCCTGCTTCGGGAATTCGATGACTACTGGTTTCAAAGCTTCATTCTCCGCTGGCGTGAGATCTAAGACAAAAGGCTTGTTATCTTCTTCGAATGGCAACTCTATGACAAACGGTTGGTCCGTGACCCCAAACACTTCAGCTTCTATTGCCAATTTCTCGATTTGTTCCTCGTACTCCGCATCGTCCATAATAACCCCAACATGCTCTGGTAAGGGGTTTTGATTTACGTTTGGCCCTTGCGGCTCCCTCTTTCTGATCACGATTTCTCCAGACTCAACCATATCCTGAACTTTATGCTTTAGCGCCTTGCAATCCAAAGTTGCATGCCCAGGTGCCCCTGAATGATATGCGCAAACAGCTTGCGGGTTATACCAAGCGGGCATGCCATACGGATAGGTAGGAGGTGGTACTGTACCAATTTTTCCGGAGGCCCTTAACTGGTCGTACAGTTGGTCTAAAGGCCTACCTAAATTGGTAAAAGTACGGCTTGGGGGTCGGTTGTAGGGTTCAGTGGGTTGAGGATAGTTGTAAGCAGGTCTATTTGGAGGAGGAAATCTTGGGTTAAATGGAGGTCGAGGTCGGTTTTGGGGTGGATTTGGTTGAGAAATTTGAAAAGGGGCTGAAGGTGGGTTAGTATAGTTTGGACGAGGTCGAGGGTGGTGGATGTTGGTAGTATATACAGGGTTTGGGCTTGAATAGTAGTAAGGGTAAGGTTGCTGGTAGGCTGGGTCGTGTTGGTATCGGGGTCTGGGTGAGGGGTTGTGGTTCCAAACAAAGGTTGTATCTCCTTCTTTCTTTTTGAATTGTGGTTTCTTTTCACTGCTTCCTCGCCCTTGCAAAGCTTCCACTTGCGATTTCAGGGCGGATACATTAACAATTTTTCCGGCTCGTACAAAGTCGTCAAATTCTTCAAGTTTATTTACAATTGCCGCGAATGAACATCCGGTCATACGGAAAATCTCTTCAAAGTATGGAGGATCATGGGCCTTGATGAAAGTACGGATGATTTCTTCCTCGGTCATTGGAGGCTCCACCTTGGCAGCTATCTTTCTCCACCTCTTTGCATAAGTCTTATGATCTTCGGAGGGTTTTCTTTTAGTTCCTTCCAATGTGGTTCTAGTCGGTGCCAACTCACAATTATACTCATATTGCCTTACGAAAGCCTTGGACAAGTCAATCCAGGTTCTTACGTCTTCAGGTTTCAGATTTGAATACCAGTCAAGTGCGTCCCCTTCCAGACTTTCAGGGAACAACCTTAGAGGCAAGTTTTCATCGTTCACAGGCTTTCCCAATTTGTTTGCAAATAGTCGGAGGTGCGTCTTGGGATTACCCGTCCCATCGTACTTGTTAAACTTAGGAGTCTTGAACCCCTCAGGCAGTTGCACATTCGGAAAGAGACACAACTCATCGTAATCCAAAACTCCTTGCTTGTTCAGCACCTGACTCTTCCTCATGAATTCATCGAAACGGTCCAGGCGTTTTAATAACTTCACATCAATGGGAGCAGAGGATCCTCCCACCTCTGGTTTGGTTTGAATAAAATGGTCTGGCAGATAAGGCTCAGTGGTGGGGTAATAAAAAGCTTGTGTCTCAGGTGGTATATTTGCAGTGACTTGAGGTTGTGGGCCTTGCATATGAGTAGGGAAAAATGAAGGATTAGGAGGGTAAGTGTATGGCAGATGAACGGTGGGGTAGGTGAAAGTCCCTTCGGGTGGACCTTGCATGGGATCAGTAGTTTGAACTGTAGGAATAACAAAGGGTTCAGATTGCAGTTGTATTACGCGCGGAAGCTCCGGCTGTACCCGGCTACTGACAAGCTCATCTATTAATTTCTTTTGGGTGGCCATTTCAGAGGCCATTTCCCCAAACTTAGCAAGTAACTCGGCCAACTGGACTCCAGGACTCGTGACTTCCGGCTGTGTAGTCACTGTAGTCTTATCGGATGGTTCTGGTTGAATATTCATGTTTACACGATTCCTTTGGGCTCTACTTCGGGATCGCGTAATAATGGGGCTTTTCCGAAAAGCTATTTTGAAAAATTTTACCTGAGAAGGCAAAAGACTGCTTTAGATAAACCAATCATTATTGAATTTCTGCAATTTATTCAAAAGAAAAAAAGAAAAAGACATGAGTTAGTAACTATTTGAACAATTCGGATGCATGTCCTATTTGGGGGGCCCTTTTGTGCCAAGGGTAGGCCTAGCATGATGCAAGCCTTCGGGGTAAAATCCCATTTTCAAACCTGTAAGTGAATATAAAAGCAGGAATTCTCATTAAAATACGGATAAACTCAGTCCTTCTTTACAACTTCATTGATGGTTCGGCCGACCATTCTTACAAAATCTTCATGCCTGACTAGTCTAGTGTGTTGGGATTCCCTAGAACTCCCAATACTAAGCTTTCGAATTTCATCTTGGATTTTATCAAATGCACTCAATGCCTTTTCCAACTTCTCGGTCTTCCTTGCCTCTTTCCTCAATTGTGTGCGGGCGTCTTCCAATGCTTGATCGGCCACCATGATCTGCAACTGATGCTCCTCTAATTCTTTCCTTAGATTCCCATTCTGCTCTTCAAGACCAACGGTAACCAACGGTATCCTTTCTCTTCCTTGTTCCATCATTGATTTGATCCATTCGTTGTACTCCAAGACGATCCTAGGCTCTTCTTTATTCACTTGGTCCAAATGCAGGTTGTCCAAACTACACAAATTCCCCCAAGCTTCCAACACCATAGTCCGGCACTCAGTGATTGTATTGAGTTCGATGCCTCCCACTTCTTGTATGGTTGGCACT